AGGGGGAGGCGCGACTATTGAAGGAAAGAGTCTCGACTAATTAGCAATTGATTAGATGACATCGTGTAATTGATGTCATTGAAACAACTTACCAAGAATAGCTCCTAGAATAGTGGATCGTATTATATGTAATCATGTAATTGATATCTTATCTAGAATAGTGTTTCGGTCGAAAGTTGGTTTCGTTTGGGAACTCATTACAATCGTTTATCGACTTACAATAAGTTCGAAAGAATGAGCTTTTTTATAAGACTTCTCTTATACAAATAAAATAAAAATTATAACTTTTTGAAAACACACACAACGAACGTTTATCACCCGATGTTTACGTGAGATCTTTACCTATGTCGGGATTTATCCATGGACCACCGACTGATCAGATCCAACATAAATTTCGTTGTCTCGCAAAGGAGATAAGAAACTAAAGTAAATATCTCGGTAAAGCGAGATAATCACTCTTCTCGAGAATCGTAGGTAGGTATGATCTCAAAGAAAAGGGATGAACCGAGCTGTAGATCTATCGAACCCTCCTTCTTTATGCCGAAGAACTCGCCAAGATCTCTTCCTCCTCTCTGAAATTCGTTCCTCCTCACTCTTCAATCCTGCAGGGCTTCGTCAATGCTTGAGAATTTCGGATTTGTGAAAATAAAGGCTCTAGGGCTGTATTTATAAGCTTCAGAAGCCCTGTTTTCGGATAAGAATAAATAATTTGATCTTATCCTCAATTGTAATCACTTAACCACATTTATAGATAACCTCAAATCAGTTGGAGAGGCTCTGGACAGTCTGCGGCAGTTCTAGACAGTTCGGGCCGGGCCCTGGCTGAGACACTCGCCTTGTTTTGACTCTAATTTTCTCGTAAGATGTTAGAATGAAGTGATTCAAGATGCATTGGAAAGCTGGGTGAGAGATCTACAGCTTTCATCTTTTGAGCTTAATTCTTCAGATTTGTCTCATATATATAAAGTTGAGAGAGTTTAGATTAAGGGTTTTGTGTGAGGATTGAAGAAGGGGAGCCTGAGGGTTATTGAAGAAGGGGAGCCTGAGGGTTTAGGCTTTTGGCTTGTTTTCTATACTCTTTTCTCTTTTGATAGTGGAATTTCTTTAATGCCTCTGACGTAGACATTGTCCAAATTGGGTGAACCATATAAATATATGTGTTTATGATTGCTTGTCGTTTATTCTTGTGTTTGTTCTTCGCAACTATTTTTGCTTAATTGTGCACTTGTTCTAACATGTTGGATTATAAAGGGATTTTATCCATGATTATAAGCTTCCAAAACTTTAGAAAGTTTTATTTCCTGCACTCTATTGGTGTTTGTGGAGAGCAAGAAACAACCTCGTTTTTAACGGAGAAAAGTTCTCACCTCAACATATTGCATCTAATGAGGCTCATTTCATCCTATTCTGAATAAGGAGTTTGAGCAAAAATAAAGCCGTAGAGGTGTGGAATGTAACCAAAGATCAAGGATTTGAAGCTCCACTATAGAACAAGGATAGGGATGGCATGGGAAAAAAATTTCTAATGTCTCATCTATGTTATGTTGATAACAAAAATTGTGTCGTGGTGATTGTTTGTTTTTATCTTGCTTTGTTTGTTCGTGTACAGTTTTGAACCATAGTGAGCGATAGTTACACTTTTTGTAACTATTTCTTGTAACCTTGGGTTTGTTGGAGTTGATGAAATTGGGTATCAACCATCTATAATCCAAATAGTAGGTGACGAAAATTGGTTGATACTTTATCTGCATTAATTTCTGGCTTATGTGAGATTTGAATTATTTTGGTAATGAATTGAACATGGCACCTCGCCAAGTTTCTTCTTTCAAAAAAACTTCAAGTTCAAGTCACGTGAGTTATATCCTAACAAGATATATATTAAAAATTGAGTCAAGTGCCTTGAATATGGGTTTTTCAATGGTGATTTTGGATTTTTAGTGAAGATTTTGATTAGAAGGTGGTTGATTGCAGCAAAAAAAATACTTTAAAGGTGATTTATGTATTAATTATAAAAAAAGGTGTTTCTACATAACTATTTTATTTTTTAAGGTGGTTTCTAAGGGGAAAAACTCTACTTTCTTCCATTAAGAAAGGTAAAGGATATATGCACAATATGTACCTGGAAAGGAAATTTATGTAACTATGAAAGCATATTTCGCTTACATAATTTTTTGCGACATCAGTCATTGTTATCTATATGTCATCTAGCTTAGGTGGATCAAAAGATTCAAAACCCGCGTTGTTTTAGATTTTATGTATAATACTTAAGACGGCGATCATTTATGAATCCCGCCTTAAGATTTAGATTATTAATATAGATAGTAGTATTTGAAGTTATAGTATTTAAAGTTATAGAGTATGTGTACTATAACTTCAAATTCATAATAATGGACGAGCAACGTTCCCATCAGAACATTGATCTATTAGGGAATATCTCGGCCACACATGAGTCAGAACATTTACCAAAATACCTCTTGTCTAGTGGACATGCTTGTAAAGCACCTGTACTAAACATATTCTAAGTTTTCCTCATCTTCTGAGCTATGGTTTTAGGCATAGAACCCACATCAGTTCTCCTTTAACATGATGAATATGGCCCATATTTTGCCCCCTCGTGTGAAAAGATTACCCACTGCCTATGATTTTGCTCCACCTGCTAAGATTCTAAGGACCCTTTGAGTCCGTCACCTCTTATCGCTGATACCAAACTTATTTTTAATATCCAGCAAGTCTGTCTTGCTTATCTTGATGTGAAATTGGCTAAATATCATAACCCCATCTCCATAACTTTAGGCGATTATCAGAAAACTCTCCTTAGCTTTTAAAATATCAAAAAATCCCCCTTAAGTTTAGGGGTTATTAGAAAATCCTCTTTTAACTTCGAGATTTTATTAAAAACCCCTCTAAATTTGAAGGGGGTTCTGAGAAAATCTCAAAATTAAAGGGGGGTTTTACACATAAAGATGGGTTTTTCTGATATTTTGCAAGCTAATGGTTTTTTTTAATATTCGTCCAAAGTTAAGTGGGGTTTTTATGATATTTTACCCATACAAAATTTCTCTTTTGGGCTGGTCCTAGTGATTTCTAAGTCATGACATTGATCACTTTAGCTGCATGATTCAAAGTTGTAATGAATGTGTTGTCACAGTTAGCCAAAAAAAAAAAAGATGCATGTGTTGTTACCCTTTATAACAAATGAACCTTTACAAAGCACACCAAAATACTAATCTCCCTTTACTTTGTAGCTCCTCACTTTTGCTTTATTCCCCTTTTCCATTCTTTAGAGAGAAGATCAGATGACCTAACTTTTCAACATGATTTTTTTAATCTCTCATGTTCTGTTCCTTTTTTTTTTAACCTAATGCCAATAGAATTGTGTTTTGGGTTCATGTGTGATACTCTCGTAGCAACAAGAACAGCAACAAAGTTTTTAATCCCAAATTTTTGGAGTGGGTTTAGTACAAAGAATTAAAAGAAGTAATGAACTTAATTAATAGAAAATTGATTATCAATGATTAAGATCTGTTGGTCTAAACCAAAGCAAAATTTACCTACCCACGTGCGGATGATATAATTTGATTCTTAACCTTTGTTAAGGGCTAGTCTTAACTTTCCAAGTTATTCACAATCACAACACTGGTTACATAATTTTCTTCACGGTGGTTATATTTCCCAATTAGCCTCACTTTAATTTGTCTATGATGATTGTGCTCTCTCAACTACATCAGGTCCTTCTCTGATAGTTAAGCCTGCTTAGAGTTTATGCTAAGTTTGTAGGAGAAAGTAAATCGCTTTGGAAAATTTTCACTGCTTGCTGTTGATACCTACATCGGTGATACTGATGTCTGACAAAATGATATAAAAAAGAGAAACTACAAGGGAGGCACTATAGTCACACCCCTAACCACACCTCCAACCACATTCCTCTCTCACTACAGTGCACTAGGGCCCACATGAGAAGTTTTTTTTTATAATTCTCATGTGGACCCCAGTGCACTGTAGCAAAAGAGGAGTGTGGTTGGAGGTGTGATTTGGGGGTGTGCCCCTAGCATTTTCCAACTACAAATATGGTTGTAGTCATATTTTTATCATTTGTAAATTATCAATGACGAGAACTCAAATCCTCTCATAAAACATTTAGTTTAGTGCAGCTATATATATATATTGCACAGGTGTATATAAACATACAGACATTTCTACGTCAAGTGTTCGATTATCAAAGCTATAATTTGTTGAATATTAAAAACAGGGAATATATATGTACTTTTGCCAGCCAACCAAGCTGGTAATGGAGCTGGCAAATGATGGCAAATACTACCAAATGTTCTTGATGTATTATTTGACAAGGATTACGGACTAACCTTCTCTAAGCATTAATGTTTCATCTCCAAAATTGATAGGTGAATACAGCACTAAATTCAGAAGCTTGATTAAGCAAACAAAACTACCGCAACAAATTAGTACCGTTACACGATGATTTAAAACCACCTCCAGGATGTCACGTTATTTTTTTGCGATGAGCAAGGTTTCAGCGTAGACCCGAGAGGGTCTAAGTTCGGTTCTACTTTTCTGGAGAGCACCAATAAGAATTTAATTTGCTGGAAACTAGGAATTTAATACTAGTTTCCGCACCAAACAGTCCTAATCAAAATGATTATGTTTCCCTCGGAAGGGCGAATCATCCTGATTAGGGCTGTAGCCCCCCATGAACAAGCACACACATACAAACCAGCTATAGCCTTTATGATAGGATTATATCCACAAGTTTCCAAACGCAAGGTTGAAGAACAAATCACAAGAAGAGCCAAAAACAAAGAAACTTGAATTTCCTTTGGACCAGCTGGCGGTTTAAGCAAGCTGACACATAAAATAACGTCCGTAGCAGCTCCCATGTTCCTCAGAACAAGTAAGGTATCAGTTGGGCACTGTTTTTTTTCCAGAGACTTGACAGTACAGATGAGAGGCAATCACAAAAAAA